GCTGCTGTCCGGCTCTGCATGCAGCTTTTCTGCTCTCCCAGCAAGGGCTGGCTCTGCATGGCCATCAGCGGCTCGGTGCAGTCGTGCTGCTGCTCCCAGAAGTGCCCGATGGCTCCTCGCTGCCACCATCCCACGGGCTGCAATGCCAAGAGGAAACAAGCAGTGCCTCCTGTGCCACCCAGCAAACACAGCGGCCGTGTGCAGCAGTGACAGGCACAGGGGGCTGCCTGCTGCTCCCAGGCTGTTGGCTGCCTGCAGGAAACACTCAGCAGATAGTCCCTAGTGGCTCCTGTCTCTCTTTTGTGGGTAGCCTGCCTGTGCTGTGATCCCAAGTAGGGTGAGATAAGAAGAAGGGAGCTAGGAATGATATTTGGAATGCTCTTTTCTAGTGATGCTGCTTCCATGTTCAGAATTGAGCAGAACTAGCCTGACGTGGCTCTCCATCCATAGTGAATCTAGATGTGTGTGTCTGCATGCTTCTGCAGGGCTATCACTGATGTCAGTGGCTGGGGTACATCAGTGACACACAGATTAGCTCCTGTCTGAATATTTTTGATGTTAGGCTTCCTCCATACTTTGTGAGAACCTGCAAGGTAGCCAAAAACGCTACACAGTCTAGAGTAGTTTGTTGAGATTCTGTGCAATATTTATGCTCCATCATGTCTAAAAAGACAGCTCAAATGTATTCATTTACACATTAGAAAATGAGCTTTTGAGTGCGCAACATGAAATTTTTGACTGAGAGTGCTTTTGATGACAAATGGGTTTCATAAGAAATGCATTTATCATCTGATTTTTCTCATACCTGGTAATTTTTTTTTCCTTACCAAAAAACTCAATTAAGGCAAACCCAGGACAACTTTTTATCAAGAGAGTGCATCTGCCAACAATTTGCATCGGTGTTTGCATTCTTTTTTCCCCAGTTTGCATTTGGAAGGCTTTTTTATCAACCATCTAGACTGGCTATTGCAAGAGAAAGCTTAGGCAGTGCACAGTATGCAAACACATCCATTTGATGACAAATAAATTTCACCTCAGCATCTTTGAAATACAGCAAGTGTGTAGCTCTGAAAGAGTAAAGGTTCATGATGCTTGGAAAGAAGCAAATCCATAAATTACTCCCTTCCCAATAGCAGGCTAAATGTATGTACACTCAGCTGGCTGCTGTCTAGGATATTTGAGGTCAGTGGAGGCAGAGGCGCTGTCAGGTGGGAAGGGTCAGGTGTGGCTGTTCCCTGGCAGCTGCTCCGTGGGGACTGAGCCGGGCCCAGCAGGGCTGGGCTGTTCAGCCTTGGCTCGGTGCTGTGGCCAGGCAGCTGCAGGTTTATCCTCAGGGAGTTGCAGAGTGCCCCATCCCCAGGGCTGGGGGAAATCAGGGCACTGAGACAAGAGAGGCACCTGAGGGGCTCCCTCCTGGCTGGCCAGCCCTGCTGCCGGCCCTGTCTGGCAGGGAGCGGGAGCTCTGCGGCCGCAGGAACCTGCCGCTGGCTGTGGCCCCTGTGGCACTGGGGAGCTGGCGCTGCGGGGCCATGGTCAGGTTCAGCCTGGAGCTGTGCCCAGCCGGGGAGGCTGGGGGAAAGCAAGGAGCCCAAGGCGCCAGGCAGCAGGGAAGCCTCTGCCCCAGTGCCCGTGTGTGCCCAGGGAGCCCTGGCTGGGAGATGGGCTGCAGGCCACTCCATGGCGGGGTGCCCTGCCCGGGGCTGCAGCGCCCATGGTCGACCCTGTCCTTACAGTGACCTCGCAGACGGCCGCTGGTGCCCAGCGCCGAGAGCAGCCGCGCCGTGGGACTGGGCAGAAGGACACGGCCTCTGCAGACCCACAGCAGTCCTTGCAGGAGGCACTGTCCTCGCTCGGCAGCGACGACTGGTAAGAAAGGCCCCGTTCACGCTGCGTCCCTCTCAGCATTAAGGTTGGTTAGAAGTGAGTCTTGCTGCGGCCTCTGAGCCCCGAGAGCCCAGAGGGCCGAAGGGCACTGGTGAAACCACTGCAGAGCACTGAGAGGATAGATTGAGAGCAGCCTTTTCTCAGCCTTGCTCTGCAGCAGTGCTCCAGCTGCAGCAGGTCCATGCTGTTTCCTCACTTTGCCTGCTGCTCCACGGGGCTGCAAAGGAAATCTTGAGGGGAGAGAGAAGGCCCTGGAACGACATGATTTGCTGGCTGAAGGGAGAAGCAGGATGGCAGCAGTTTGGAGTGCAGGTTTGGGTGCCTTGGGCCACTAGGCCAGTGGGACTGAGTAAGATTCCTCTCTGCTCCCACTGCTGCCAGCAATGGCAGGTGACAGGGTCTCCCTGTGACCTCCTGCATGGCAGCCCCAGAAGCAGCTTCAGGGAGTTCCTCTTTCTGAGAAACCGACTGAGTTGTGCTTTCAAGTCCCTCAGTCTGTCATTACTTCTGCAAGGCTCATGGCAGTAGAGTAGGAAAAAGAAAGAAAATCCTCTAGGAACCTTGCATTTTTGGAATTCAACTTTTCCTTCTCACTGCCTCACATGGGCCTGAGACTCTGACACCCCCCTGTTTGCCTCTTGGATTTTTGTATGCTTTTGACAGCCACAGCATCCTGAGTCAAGGCATTCTATGATTTCATTAACTACGCTATGAAAAGCACCTCCCATGGTTTGACTGAGCTGCCAGCCTGGTCATTTCAGAGGGTGCCGCCTAGCTCTTGGGTAGAGAAAAATCAATCTTTTTGGTACTTGCCTTTCAGGGAGATGAAGGAGAAGGGACTCTGCATCATCAAACAGCTGGCTGAGTCCCATTCAGAAGTTCTGCTTTGTCGACTTCGTGAGATTTGCTTGGCAGTTACCAGCGAGGTGAGAACATTGTTCTGAATTGTCCCCCACACTTCATACACAGTGTGTAGAGTAGCTGTGTGCTCGCTCATCTCCATGTGTGCTCAGGGTGTGCCTTCTCTGCCCAAGCTGTAATTCAACACTGCAAATTTGTCTGTAGACCTGAGCCTGTGTTTTCTGTTTCCTGTCTGAGTGCTTCAACTACAGGTGTTGCTTTTTTGAACAGGAGCACCCGAGTCTTTTATCTTTATGACTTGTGCCTTTATGGTTTGAAAGCAGCCCTTGCGTTAATTTGCTTGTTTTTCAAACAAAAGGCCCTAAAATCAAAGCAGTTGCTATTACAGAAGGGTCAAGTAGCACACTTTAGTGAAATATATTTTTTAGGCCTGCAGTAAGCATGTCTGAGGGCAGAAATTGGTGCCAGAGTAAGTACCTTTCTGTGCTTGGGCTCTTCTGCTCTTACTGTGCTTTTTTGCTCCTCTGGACACAGTGGGAGGCGTTGTGATTTCCCGGGAGTTTTGTCTAAGGCAACTGGTTTTCTTTTCAAGGTGATTCTTATGTTTCCCCTCATGACTTCCCCAGGTGACCAGCCTGCGGTCAAAGCTGTCTTGTTCTGCAATCATCACTCTGGGAGAGCTGTTTGCACTCTTGAGGAAGGACATGGATTCTGAGGTGGATGAGGTTGCTCCTGTCCTTCTCCACATGGTGTGGAACTCCCCAGAGTTTGTTCAGAAGGCAGCCTGTCAGGCCCTGGCCATCATGGTAGAGAAGGTGACTCCTGCACGAGCAATGACTGTTCTCATGGACAAGGGAGTCAAGTAGGTTCTTCTTCTTTGAGTGATATTCTTCACCTTCTCCTGTGTGGGTGGGGGAAGGGGTGAGAGAGAGAGAATGGGAATGGTGGCAGGGAAGGGTCCTGTATCCTGGGTCTTCTGTGAACTCAGGGACTTGATTCTCTTATCAACCTCATTTCTTTCCTCTTGTCACCTATTTCTGCCCTCCTGCAGCCTCTTAGTTCTCAGAATCACAGAACTGTAGAATAGGGGCAGTTGGAAGGGGCCCATCAGGACCATTGAGTCCAGCTCCTGGCCTTGCACAGAACAGCCCAAGGCTCACACCAAGTGCCTGAGATTGTTGTCCAAATGCTTCTTGGACTCTGTCAGGCTTGATGCTGTGACCACTGCCCTGGGGAGCCTGTTCCAGTGCCCAACCACCCTCTGGGTGAAAAAACTTTTCCTAATATCCTGTCTAAAGTTCCTCTGACTCAGCTTCCTGCTGCTTCCTGGAGTTCTCCCAGCCTGTCAGATTTTCCTAGGTGTGGTGACCGCTGGGGAAATGAAAGTGCCTGCAAAGGTCAAGGAGAAAGCCTTGTGCTTTTTTGGGAAGAGGGACAATTGCAGTTGCCGCTGTGAGCGCTGTTGGGTATTTCGCAGCGCTGGGAAAAACCACGTATCCTCATGATGCAACTAACGTGAGAAATACGGAGGGTACTTGCTGGGGCGTGCAGCACATGGGGGAGAATGTGCTGGGTGTGGTACTGCCTGCACAGCAGGTGCAGCTCCTGCCAAAAGGAGGCTTGTATGACTGTCCTGGCCTGAGAGCTCTACTTTCCATTCAAACTGATGTTTCAGCTTGGCCTTGAGATGATGAATCACTTGACAGGCACCTTCACAGGCTGAGTGCAACAGGACAGCTGAAGCAAATGCTGCCTTAAGTGTTGGTGCTGGGCCTGACAGTTCCCAAGAGACAGTCTCTAGAGCAGGACAACCTGGCTAAAATGCCTGCCACCCTTTCCTCAACTTTGGAATAGGGTCAAAACACTCAGATGTATCCCTTTACAAAAGACAGAGGCTGCATTACTGGATATTGCTGGATATTGGCAACTTCCCGCCCCACAGCGTGTTTTCCCTGCATTTGTTTTTTTCCAAAGGTCTGCAGATTTGGGGATGAATGGGTGGAAAGAGCCGCATCCTGCTGCAGCTCTGTGCAGTGGGGGCCTTCTGATGGGTCAGCATGAATTGTCCTTAATTTCTAAATAATGAATATGTAATCAATTCCTTTAATCTTTCTCTGAGTAAATACTGGGAAAGAAATGGAGTATCAGGTAGTGCAGGGAGACTGAATTCCTCCCTCTTCCTTGCAGGCAGTCCTTCTGTGCAATGCTAACGTTGTCTTTATCTGAGGACAGAACCTTCTACAGGTGTCTGAAGTTGCAGGGAGAGCCCAGGCCTCCTTCCCCCAGCAAGGACAGGGAGCAGGCTCTGGCCAAGGCCTGTGCTGCTCTTGCTCCTTCTCCCTGTGCCCAGGGTTTGTTCTCTTCTTCCCAGGAGCCGCTACGTCCAGGTGCGGAAGTGCGCGGCCGAGCTCCTCCTGTCCTTGGTGCAGAGAATTGGAGTCACGAAGCTGGCAGGCACACCCAGGGCTGAGACACTGGCACACGTGGCAGGGACACTTGCTCAGGACTGTCACCAGGACACAAGGTAATGATCTTCATTTCACCTCCCAAAACGGGAACATGGTTTTGTGTCTGGCTATAAAGGGTAAAACTACAAAGGAGTGGAAACTAAAGGCAACATCCAGTTACCTCACAGTGTGGATAAGGGTCACAGAATTATGGAATATGCTGAGTTTGAAAGGACCCATCGGCGTCATCAAGTCCAGCTCCTGGTTGTGTGCAGGACACCCCAAGAGTTACTCCATGTGCCTGAGAGCATTGTCCAAACACTTCTTGATCTCTGTCAGCCTTGGTGCTGTGACCACTGCTCTGGATGGCCTGGGGAAATGACTGTAGTGGGTAACCTGAGCTTGGCCACCAAGAAGGAGCATTGCCAATTTCCTGTGACTTGAAGGATTCTTTACTGAGATCAAAAGAGCTCCCATTAGCCAGTCAAAAAATTTTGATTGGCCTTAGGTGCACACGGTAAAGCCTAAGTGTTGGCTAATGTTCATCACTGAAGGATCCCAAACATCTATTTCACATTAACTTAAGACTTCCCTAGAAATATTTCAGAGGTCTTTAGCCTATGTATTCAGTCTTTCTAAACTACTTCTGCAGGTTTGTAGAATGCTGTTATCTGTGGCTCAGTGACCTCCAAATTTCTTCTTGAAGAAATCTGTGGTTTCCTAGTGGCAAAATCAACCCAAACCACCAAAATCCCCTTACTTTGATGATGAAATTCCCATTAATAGCTGCCAGGGACACCAGAGCAACTATCTGCCCATGCCCCTGATTATTCTATATAGTATAGAATAATCCAAAGCAAGCATGAGGTGTTTTGTTCCGGCTTCCCTGCCAGTGAAAGAAAGGCAAATTATTGTGCAATGGCAGCAGGACATTGCTAATAGGCTCTGACAACAAAGCAGATGTGTTTTGCCTGTTCCCTGGGATCCTGTGATCCCACAGAAGCACACCCACAGTTTCAGAGTGAAATGGTATTTTTCTGTGGCCCCACATTCTCCTCTTGTCCCTTGTGTTCAGCTGACAACACTGTGCAGTGTCCAGTGAAGCAAAACTCCCTCTTTGCTGAGTAGGTAATGCCTTCTCTTGCAAGGATTGCACCTGATCACTTTAAGGTATCTGCTGCTTCTGTTAACACTCTTCCTTTGCTCACTTTTCATTTCCTTCCTTCCTTCCTTAGGCATTACGGACAGGAGATGGTGAAGATGCTGCTGAATAATCCAAAATTTAAGAAGCTTTTGGAACAATCTCTTTCCACCCATGACCTGGAAGATATCCTGACAAGAATTAAGAAGAAAGTAAGTGCTTGGCAGAAGCAGTGTCTCCTTTGTGCAAGTATTGACACTGCTAATATGAGATCACACATACGCAATGTGTCTTTACCTCATTCCTCTTCTGCTGCATCATTTTGCTCCTGGAATGAGCTGTTAATCCCCAGCCTGTTCATCTGCAGACCACAGAGGAACTGATATTATTTGGGAAAAAGTGGGGTTTAGAATTCTTTGAATATCACAAAGGGGAAAGGGAAAGAGGAGAAAATGGGTTTACATCCAAGGGCAAGGCCCTATGGGCTCTCCCTACTCTGCCCCCAGTCAAGCAGTTAAGTGAGAATCGTGCTTCTGAGGATCACAGTGTCTTTGCAAAAGACACCACAGGTAGTAGTGGTGCCAAGGACATTGCCAAATATACAAAAGATGTCCAAGTCAATCCTAATTGCTACAATTACTGTCTGTCTTTTGGGAATACTGCCCTGCTGTCAAGCCCTGTGGAGCTGGAAGAGGCTTGGTGAATCCAACAGCATCCAGTGGAAAATAGTTTGTTTATTTGGGGGGGATTTTCTTCTTTTTATCTACATTATAGAAGGGAGTGTGCCTTTGTGCAGGAGCAGGGAGAGTAAGTGTTGAACCAAATCAACTTCCAAATCAACAGTGGGCCAACCCTCAAGGAGTCCAAATCTGCTGCTTCCATTGAGAACACTCGTTGCCTAACAGTTTGCATTATTCCCATTTATGCTCAAGACTAATGAATTTGGGATTTTAGACTGCTGCTCACTGCTGTATGATAACACCCATAACCTGCCTTGGGCTATTGTAAACAAAGAGTTGGCATCACTGAATCTCTGCTCCACTTATTTCTGTAAGTTAGGAAATGTTTCCTTAAGCCTTGGTAGCAGTGGTCTTGGTTCTAACTTGTGTTTTAATCCAGGAATTTCCTATTTTATAGTCTAAAGATTCATGGAGTTTCTTGATGTCTTTGTAGGGGATGGAAAACCAGAAGGCTGAACGCCCATCTGTGAAGAACCTGGTGAAGAAGAGGAGCGAAGGCTCAAAGAAGCCCCAGGCCACATCGCCTTCTAGCAATCGGTACTTTTGTCAGATGGGAGCACTTTTGTTAGATGTGACAAAGCACATGACATGTGCTTTACATGCCTCTTCCTCAGGAAAACCTTTCTGCTGGAGATGACCAGTGCCAGAGATTCTTTCCTTTCCCTACAAATGCTCTAGGATAAAAAATGTCTACTTCGGCATTATGCTGAACACAACTTCTCTGGAGGGCTTCCACAAAAACTGGGCAACAAAAGACACCCATTGGTAACAGCTCAGACCATCCAGTGCAGTGGCAAGGGCAGTGTTGTGGAGGCTTGGAGAGGGCCAAGTTTCTGCTGCCTGACTTGGGACAAGGAAATCCAACCAGGGTGTTCTTTTTAAATCCCAGTGTAGTCTTTTGTCTTTTTTTAGATGGGTGTTTTAATGAGAAGTCCCAGTCTTGAAACAAGATGCCATTCCCCAGAGATACAGTTCTCATCCATGTGGTTTGGCCTGGCTGATTCATGGCTTTTTTACCCTCAAACAGTATGACGTTTGAGTAGTAGTAGCAGTAGTAGTAGTAAAAGAATTCCTGAGCAACTTTGGCCAACAGGTGTCTCAATGTGGACATTTTGTCTTGATATTCCTGTCCTTCATATAGTTTACTTGATGGACAGCATGTTTGGTTTATTTCCCCCTGTGCTGCAATCAGCGTTTAAGACAGAAATTTGGTCCTTGCTGTCTCTTCATGCTAGTGGCAGAGCTGCTTGTGCCTGTTCTCCTCTGATAACAGAGGGCATTTATTTAGAGCTGTCCCGCTCAGCAGTGGCAGGAAAGTGACCACGTGTCTCAGTAGCATGGCTTGCATCTGCCCATGCTCATGGAAGAGACAGGTTGATCCAGGAGAATTGTTCCCAGTGGGTTTGTTAAGCTGTGGATCTGGTCTCTAGGGAAGCAAACAAAATGTGAGCGTAGTTCTGGCATGTCTGGCTTCTGTTTTTATCTCTGTTACTGATTTTCTGGACCCTTCAGATACACCCTTGTTCATCTGTTCAAATGCATCTGAGCTGCTTTTCCAGATTGTCATGCCTGGTGTAGAGACACTTCTCCAGAATGATGTGTTTCCTTATTATAAGACACACACCT